CTCTCTCTCTCTCTCTCTCTCTCTCTCTCTCTCTCTCTCTCTCTCTCTCTCTCTCTCTCTCTCTCTCCTGTGCTGGAAACGCCAAAACAGCACGGTTAAGAGGAGGTGGGGAGAGGGTAGGGGGTGATGTCCATGGGGTCCCTTCATATGATGAAGAATACTGTAGCCTAAGTGAATCCTTGGATGGAGGGGTCAGAACCCGTTGGAGGAAGAGGGAGCTGGAAAGAGAAAGCAGAAGCCAAATGGCCTAGAGTTTTCCAGTCTTTTTGGATTATTTGAGGGAAAATGGTCTTAGCTAGGCTTTGTACCTCCTCCAGCATCTAGCAATAGTCTTCTCCAAATACATCCATTTTCTCAGGCAGTTAGAGAATGAAGGCTAGATTACTGGGAACTTTCTAACTAATAGTAGTTAAGGGGGAGAGGGGGAAGTGTTCTTCCAAGGGATGCCCTTCTCTTTCTAGTGAGGAAGAGACAGATGAGAAACTGAGGCAGAGGGGCCAGTGGCTGGGTTGATCAGACCCAACAGACTCAGTAAAACCTTAAAAACTTTTGGGGTGAGGGAGGAGACTGAGTCTGCTGTTCTAGGGATGGCAGTCTGAGGGGTTGATGGAGGGTGCATCTGGGGGTCTATGTGACTGGGCCTCTCTCCCAGGCCCCCACCAATTGTACCCCTCATCCTGATCCCACCATGGCGAGTGGGCGACCAGACCTGAAGAGGAGTTTCTCCATAATACCCTGCTTCATCTTTGTGGAGGTGAGGACCATGCATATCAGCATGGATTTGGGGGAGAGGTTTCTGGAAAGTGAAGAGATGCCCTCAACTTTAATCACTATGTTCTCTCTCTTTGGTTTGTGGCTGTCTCTCTCCTGATTTTTGTTCTCTTTGTAACTTTCTGTCTCTCTCTCTCTCTCTCTCTTTCTCTCTCTCTCTCTCTTTTTCTCTCTTTCTCTCTCTCTCTCCCTCCCTCCTCCATTTCTTAATTTATCCCTTCTACCTCTTTGCCCCCTCCCCAATAACCCTTATGTGCAATTCCATCTCTGTGTCTTCCTTGGTGGCTGTTTTTTTCCTCTTCTCTCTGTATCTTTCCTGTGTCCCACCGTCCACCTCTGCCCCGGCCTGGACTGGCAGTCAGTACTCCTGGGTGCTGTGGTACTTCTTGCCTACCGCCTGGAATACACAGACACATTCCCAGTGCACATGCAGGGTTTCTTCTGCTATGACAGCACTTATGCCAAGCCCTACCCAGGGCCTGAAGCCACCAGCCGTGTCCCACCAGCTCTGATCTACCCCCTGGTCACTGCAGGGCCTGCCATCACGGTAATTCCCAGGGTTTTGGAAGGTGTTGATTGTGGAGGGAGGAGGATGATTAAGGTAGGGCTGCTCCTACAATCTTGGTCTTTCCTCCCAGATCCTCCTTGGAGAGCTTGCCCGGGCCTTCTTCCCAGCTCCCACCTCAACTGTGCCCGCCCTGAGGGAGAAGACCATTGTGTGTGGGGACTGCTGCCGCTTCAGCCCAGCCCTCAGAAGGCTGGTCCGCTTCCTGGGTGCGGGGTGTGAATTGGGACTTAGCCAGGTGGCAGGGCAAGCAGGGGTTAGTTTGAGGGAGTCTGGGGAAAAGGATGAGGAAAAGGTTCCAGGGCAAGGAGGAGCCCACACTCGGCCCCTGGGTGGGCTCTAATCTGCTTTTCTATCCCTCCCTTCTAGGCGTGTATTCCTTCGGCCTCTTCACCACATCCATCTTTGCCAATGCTGGCCAAGTAGTGACGGGGAATCCTACGCCACACTTCCTGTCTGTCTGCCACCCCAATTATACGGCTCTGGGCTGCCCACCGCCCGCTACAGACAAGCCTGGACTGGACCGGTATGTCACCGACCAAGGGGCCTGTGCAGCCGGCAACCCTGCCTTGGTTGCAGCTGCCCGACGTGCCTTCCCCTGCAAGGATGCAGCCCTGTGTGCATTTGCAGTCACCTATACGGCGGTGAGTCTGAGCGACATCTAGAGAGGACTGAGACAAAGTACCAGACTCCAGCCAGACTTGAAATTAGGAGGGAGTTCCTATCCTCTGCCTCTGAAACCTGTCTTTCCCACCATTTCCATTTTCCAGTCTGTAAAATAAGGGGTTCTGTAAAGTGCCCCTGTGACCCTCTCTCCCTTTCCTCTCTCCAGATGTATGTCACACTGGTATTCAGGGTAAAGGGCTCCAGGCTGGTGAAGCCTTCACTCTGCCTTGCCCTGCTCTGCCCAGCTTTTCTGGTGGGTGTGGTCCGTGTGGCTGAGTATCGGAACCACTGGTCAGATGTGCTGGCTGGATTCCTGACTGGGGCAGCTATCGCCACCTTCCTGGTTAGTCTCTTTGTTAGCCTCTTTTGAGGCTGGGCCTCATCCCTCCCTGCCCCCCACCCCTCCCGCCAAGGATGCAAGTGGGAGGAGGGGTAGATTATACAGAAAGGGGGAAAGTCAAGTCTTGGGGGAGGGGGTATACCCTAGACTGGGAGATGGGGTTTCTCCCTACTTCTTGGTTTGAGTTCTGTGTCTGTGCCAGTCTTTGGGGTCTGGTGGGTAAAAGATTAGCACCTTCTTTTATACCTGCCTCAGGTTACCTGTGTTGTCAACAAGTTCCAGAGCCGAATGCCTCTATGCCAGAGAGCATTCAGATGGGAGGGTCTGGGCCCAGTGCCTGCCATTGAGAACCCCCTTGAAAAGTTAAATTCAGCCCAGGTAAGGGCCAGCTGACCTCTCACCCCTACCCCCTCACTTCTTAGTTCCCGATTCCCATACTCAGCTATGAGCTAGAACCTTGGACTTCCTAAAGGACTCAGTGCCTGGTGAGGGTCAAGTTAGAGGCAGACACTGACTATCCTGGGTCTTGAGAGTAGGGGTCTCCAGATGACATTGGGGAAGCTTGGGGTGGGGCTAGAGATGGGCCCACCCCACCCAGTCACTCACAAGTGGTGCAGGGAGGGGACCCAGGGTATGGTACATCTGATAGAGGGCTGTTCTCTGTATTTGTGGAAGTCCTGAGCAAACAGCCTTCTATGAATAGCACTGCTTCAAACCAGGGATAAGTTTCTCTCAGTGGTTGGAGGGCCAGCATTACTGTAGTATAGTGGATGGAGAGCCAGAGAGAGCCAGAGTCCCAGATTCAAATCCTGACTTTGCTATTTATTTACTGTTTGAACTGGGACAAATCACTTCACCTCATCAGGCCTCAGTTTCCCTATCAGTAAAATGAAGGGGTTAGACTGAATGATTTCTAAGGCCTTTTGTTTGTCCCACTCCCACCCCTGCTCCCATTTGGAGGTCATGACCAGTGACCCCTAACTTGAGATCCCATCCTTGAGAAGGATGGTAAAGGGGGGCGGAATATGGTTAATGCTGGAAACTCTTTCTCTTCCATGTGCCCCCTCCTTTCCCATTCTACCCCCTCCATTATTGCCCTCCTGGTGTCCACCCTAACTGGGGGGGGGCCCTCAGTCAGCTCAGGAACAGAAACAGGAGCCGCCGGGACAGGGCCAGGGGCCAGGGCTGGGGCCAGCCGGGCCACTAGCCCGCTCCCTCTGCCTGTCTGTCTCAGGAGCCCAAGACCACTGCACCCCCGCTGCAGCCTGCCCGCCTCACCCCACCCAGTGAGTGAACTCCTCTTCTCCTCTCCCCAGAACCCACCCTCCACACCCACCATTTACTCTGGTTCCCTAACTTCTCCTTGGGACCAGCCCAATCCAACAAACCTCCCTTCCTTCCTTGGGCCTGCCTTCTCCAGCCTCCACTGGGTCAAATGATATAGTGGAAAGGGCACTGAGTTGGGGATTACAGGCTCCGGGTTGAGACTCAAGCTCTGGATGGTACCTAAGGTGCTTTCCAGCTCAAAACCCGGATAGGTTCAGGATTATTGGTGGAAAACAGCCTTAAAAGTACCGTCTCCCGCTCCCTCTCATCTCTAGAGCTCTGTCTGTGGGGGGCTGCCAGCCCTAGCCCTGTTCCCTGCTCCCCGAGACTTCTGTGCTTTGGAGATCTCCACCCCAACCTTGCCCTTGCCTGTCTTCTCAGAGCTGCAGAGCTGTGCCCGTCGGGGCCACCTGATCCCCAGCTGTGTGTCTTCCCGGGCCCCCCCGATGTGTTCTTCCCCTCGTGTTCCCCGCGCTCGAGTGAGGTCTGAGCCAACATTGCCTGCCATGACCCCTGGCCCCAGCCAGGGCCCCCCACCATCCCCTGGACCATCTGTGGCTGGTGGGGGTGGAGGTGGGGGTGGCCGGGGCCGGAAGTTGCTGCTGCCCACTCCTCTGCTGCGGGACCTATACACCCTCAGTGGACTCTACCCCTCCCCCTTCCATCGGGACAGCTTCAGCCCCTACCTGTTTGCCAGCCGGGACCACCTGCTGTGAACTCAGGTTCCTAGATCCTGAGAGCCTCTGGCCCCACATACCCCCTGGAGTCAGGTGTTCTCAGGCTGTGTGTATGTGTCTCCTGTGTGCCTGTGTGTGAGTGTGAGAGTGTGTGTGTGTGTGTGTGTGCGCGCGCGCGCGCTTGCGTGTGCCTGCCTGTGTGTGTGGCCTCACCAGCCAATCCCACATGGGTATGGGGATGGATGGAGAATTTAAAGAAAGTCTAGGCCTGGATGGCTTTGTCTCTTACCCCCCTTTCTAGCTGGCTGGGCCCCAGGACGGTCTTCACTGCCTGATGTGGGCGAATTTGGGATTGGGAAAGCTGAGGGGCAAGACCATCCATTGTCCCAAGGTTTGGAGTGGGGACAGAAGCTCCTCCTTTTTAGCCAAAAGCTAATAGAAATAACCTTTGACTTCTTACTATACATTGAGGGTCTCCATGTCTCAAAATTCTAAGAGTGGTTGGGGTTGGTATGATTCCAGGCAATGAGAAAGTCCATGTTTCTAAATCTTGGGAGTAGGGGAGGGGACACATGGAGGGACGTCTGACAGCAGCCAATGAGAATGCTTGGTATCTAAGGACTACAGGGAATCTTGGTGCTTGCCAGGGTTGGGCCCTAGGTGTCTCAGAATGCCAATAATGGGTAATGATTCCTAAGGATGGACCCTAGGTATCTGAAAATTCTTGGGGGAGGGAAGCTTCAACCCCTTCTGATTATTCTGAGATTACCCCTCTTCAGACAGCAGGATGGAGAAAGGAGGCAGTGAGTCTGACCTAGTGGGGAGGCATTGGATTGTGAGGGTCCTACTACCGAAGCCACGTCTTTCATTTTCTTCCCATTGCAATGTCCTTTGCTGGGGCAGTTCCCACCCAACCCTGAGAGCCTCCCCTATCCTCCCAGCCAAGCTGGGTTCCTCCCCTTATTCTCTCCATCATCCCCCAATTCCAACCATTATCTTAATGACCCTAAACTCTGAGTTCCCCTTCAGCCACCAGTGCTGGGAAGGAGGGATTCTCTTCTACTCTATTCTCTGAGACTAAAGTGGGGGAAAAGGAGTTGAGCAGTCTTTGAGGATAGGGTGTTGTCTTCTCCCAAGTGCCCTATCCCTCATTTCCTTGGTCCTAGATTTGGTGGGGGGGTGGGGGTGGGGGAGGGGATTCGATATTTGGACCTAAGGTCAGAGTCCAGTGGTGGAGAATGGAGAGGAGATAGGGGCTTCCTTGTGACCTACACACTTGGGAGATTAGCTTTCATGTCCTGCTTCCTCATCCCACCGCAAGAAACAAAAATAAAAAAATAACCTTTTCCCTTCCTGAACTGGCTGTGCCAGTTCCAGGGCACAATGCCCCCAACAGCCCTGCCCCTGCCCCAAGGGAAGCTAAAAGGGTCAATAGAGAGAGAGAGAGACCTCTCCTCCACTCCCAGTTTCACAGCCTTTAATAAAGATCTGTTTGTATCAGAAATACCCCAGCATCTGTTTCCTCTATGCTTAGAAGAGTATACATGTGACTGTTCTCCCTGAATGTGACTAACCATGTGCCTATGTGGTGTGTGAATATGGCTGGAGCATGTGAACAATAGAAACAGAGCTGGAACCAGGCCTGAGCCATGGAGCTTTGCTCTGGGATAAGTAGTTTAGATGGTGCCTTCAACTTCCATTTAAAATATTTCCTCCCCTTCAGTAGCTTCAACACCTCCTTGTCCAGGGGCTTGCTCTCTCCAGTGGTGACCGCCCTCTGCCCCTTCAAGTTGCCACCACTCCCCATCAGTGGCCAGTCCTTCAGCCATGTACCAACCTCCTGGTATCCTGGGCCTGGTGTGTCTCCTCCCGCCCTCACCTCAACCTCCAGCCCACCAAAGCAAAAGCTGTTAAGTCCCTGAAGATAATGCACCAGGCTGCTGTAAAAGTCATCAGGGCCTTTGAGGTGCACTGAAATCAGGACAAATGAGTTGTCCCTCTGGCTTATTTGCTTAGAGATTATGATGTGGGACACGTCTCTTCCACACTCTGGGTTTCTGTAAGAGGAAGGGATTGAATAGCACAATCTCCAAGGTCGTTCTAACTCTGAAGTTCCATGATTGTTAGGTGGAGGTTAAATGGTTTCTGGCTTGGGATTTCTATCCTATCTCATTCTCTCACTGTCTCTGTTTCTCTGTCTCTCACACACGTACGTCTTAGTCACATGCAGATATAGGTATCCTCAATGACAAGATCACAGGCACAAATACAGAGTCATTTTTGGGGGATGGGGAGGGCAGATGCTTGGCCTGTGACCCGCTTCATATTGCGAGGGCTTCCTGATTGGGGGTGGGAGCAGGAAGGGACTGGGGCCCATTTGCTCTGACCTGCCACCCTGACATGCGGCTGAAACCCACGTGCCTCGCCTTCCCCTCGGCCGAGAGTGGGGGAGCGGGGGCGTGGTCGCGGGTAGGCGGTGGAAGGGAGTGAGCGGGGCTAGGGCCACGGCAGCCTCCCCAGGCCGGGCGGTGTCCAGCGCCTCCTGCTGCTGCTCTGGGCCGCGCCCCCTTCCCTGAACACCGTAGCACGGTCAAGGCCCAGCAGACGTGAGGGAAGGTAGGACCAAGAAGGAAGAAACTCGTCGGGGATGGGGGCTTCCCGGAGGTGGGGGGCTGTCAGAAGGAGGGGTCCTCTGTCTGGCCCTCACCTCCGCCCCGGGCCCAGCTCCAGTCTTGCTCTCTCCACTGCGGGGGGCGGGTTGGGGGTGGGAGCGGTGGTTTTTCCAGAAACACAGAGATTTCCGGAGGGGGGGCGGGGAGCTGGGCCTGGCCGGGCGGGGGCGAGGCACGGGCGGCGCAGGATTTTTCCGGGATCCACAGACAAAGGGTGAGTCCGCCCCCGGCCCTCCACTCACCAGGACCCCAGTCTCCCAGAACCTTGGCCCTTGACTCTCAGAATCCCGAATTTTCTAAGGCTCGGGCCTCTTCTCGCTCAGGCACAGACCCCTTGACCCGCAGAATGCTGAAACCCCGCCCCTGCCAGGCCTTGATCCCTATAACTCAGAACACCCCAATCACTGGACTTTCACAATCCTTCAAGTCCCTGGCTGGGGGCTTCAGGCTGGGACCCTCTTTTCAGCGGAAGGCTGGAGCGAAGCCTTTCCCTGTCCTGAACCGCATCTCTGTCCCTGCCTTACTCCCATTTCAACCACATCTCTGCGTTTCTCTCTCTCTCAATGTCTCAGGTTCTCCATGTCTCTTCTCCCTTCCCCCACAGTTATTACCCGGACTACTATCCTACCTGCTCCTCCACAGCCCCAATCTATCTGGCCTACCCAGGAACAGTGGCCAACTCCCCCAGTCCTTCTCGCAACACTCAGTATCTTCCCAGTCCAGGAGGCCGGAGCGGGGAGCTGTCCGCGGTTCTGAAGTCGGGCCTGAGGCTGGAGGAGGGGGTTGTGTGGACTGCCCCGCCCTTGCTCGCAACTCCGCCCCCAGAGTCTCCAGGGCCTGGAGTACTGGAGAGGGGTTAGAAGCCTCAAGCCTGGGAAGAGGACTAAGACCAGTTTTCCTGAGATCCTGGAAGAGGGTCCAAGGTCCTGGGGAAGTACTCTTGGAGCATAGAAGTGGGAAAGGGAATTCTGGGAGGTGGGGATTCCTCTTGGGGTGGGACTAGGTAACAACTAACAGTAGAGGTTCTAGGTATGTAAGATATTATTGTTCAGGTGTGAGTTGGATTGGAATTCCTCTGAGGTCCATTCCAACTCTTAGATTCTGGGTCTCAGGGCTTCAGGAGCTGGAAGGGAGGGGCTTGGTCCCTGGGGGCTTAGAAGAAAATTCCAAGGGTGAAATGTCTAGTTGGCCAATTGCTGTAGGGGTAGCGTTGGACCTGGGTCATGCAGAAGGCCTGTGGATGTGAATGAGAGGTCCTTGGGGCCAGGATCCTGAAGTACAGCTGAGATGAGAGAGTCCCAAGTTGGCATCCAGGTTGTGAGGTTAGAGTGGGGTTGGGCCAGAGCCAGCTTGCATTGTGACGACAAGCCTGGTGGAGTCCAGAGCTTCTATTCCTGTTTCCATTGCCCAGTGTGGCCAAGGAGTACTCCCAGTTCTGGTGCCACCATTCTGCAGGCCCTGCCCCAAAGGCCAGCCCCCCGCGATGACGGGTATTCTTGGGTAGATAATACCGACGGTGCTGTTATTGCTTGAGAATACACGTAGTCGAGAGGAGGTGCCTTCGCCGACCCCCTCCCCCCTAGTGCCCAGCCTGTCCCAAAGGAGACAGGGCCTGGTCAGGGACTGAGGACCTGGGGGTGGGGGTGGGATATCTTTCTAAATCTTTATATCCCTCTTCTCCTCCCTCTTTTCCTCTTATATCTCCACGTCCCACTCCCAACACACATACTCTTCTCTGCAACCTCCTAGCCTCTTTCCCTCTATCTACCTCTTTCTCAATTCTGGACCTTTTTACCTTGCTGCTTGTTTTATCCAAGAGGACCTCTCTACAGGGTTAGAATCCTTGTAATGGCCTGGGATGGATCAAGAAGAAGCAGTCTCTGGAAAAAGAGAAAGAAAAGGGGAAAACGAACCTTTCCTCCTCCCAGTCTATCCCTGTTAGCACACTCAAAGCACATCTGTAAGAGGTCGAGGGTGTCTGTGTATGTGTGTGTATTGGTGTGTGTCTGTGTGTGTGTAGGTGGGGGGAAGGGAGCTAAGCTTGTAGGCTGAGGGTGTTGCCCAGGACTGGGCATGTGTGTAGAGAGGGGGTGGTGGTGGAAGGAGGGAGGCTGGGCAAAGCCTGTAGGCTGAGGGTGTCTCAAGGTGTATGGAGTGGGGGATAGGGGGGTGGTACTGAGCTTGTAGGCTGTGGAGGTGTCCTGCTCAGATATCCCTGATGGGATATGTGTTTATATGCTTTGCTGCTACTACTCTGTTGCTGCTGCTGCTGCTGTTTCCTGGTCCCAGAAGCCTCCACCCACCTGGAATCTCCTAGCAACAGCCTCTCTGTGGTTGCCAGGCAATGGTGCTGGATGGGGAGTGATTGACAGAGGGAAGATGGACAGACTGAAGCAATGGATGATACTGGGCAAAGAAGCTGAGCCCAAACCATCATCTATCTTTCCTTTATCTCCCAGTCCTCAGGGCTCTTGTTCCAGTCTCTGTGGTCCAAAGTCTCCAGGATTTCTGGAACATAAAACATCCTTGCCATCTGCTCCCAGTGCCTCATGTCTCAGAACACCACTCTCATACACATACATTTATTCATACACACCTCACTGACCACTAATGCCTGGAACAACCCCTCTCATGTCTCTACACATATGCATATTTATGCCCCAAGTCAGAGAACTCCTCCAAAACCATATGGTTGTTCTAGTATGTATGATAGGATTGGAATCTGGAAGAGAATTTAGAGATCACCTGGTCCCATCCTCTCGTTTTACAGATGAGGAAACTGAGAAGAGGAAGAACATGTTCAAAGCCACACATGCAGTAAATGGCAGTGCCAAAACTCAAACCTAAGTCCCCTGACTCCAA